ATGAAGGGTCTAGGCCCGAAACGTCAGCCTTTCTGCTCCTATGATGCTGCTTGGCCTGCTGTGTTCATCCAGCTCTGCACCTTGTTGTCTCGGATTCTCCAGCATCTGCAGTTCCTACTATCTCCCGCTAATCCTGGTTGTTTTCATCAGAAGTTACAAGGAGCAGGTTAATAAGGTCTGTTTCCTGCACAGAAGTTACTATTGAGGGCATCAGATAAGACAAAGATTTTGCAGACTGCAAACAAATTATTTGTTGTTTGAAGTTCAAGAATTACAGGGCATTATCAATTAAGACATACCTACCCGTACTGTACCTTCACTTGGAGATAGATTTCATTTATTAAATGCATGTACATATTGTTAAATAAATTAATGGATATAAAATAGCTTTATCTTTGTCTGTCTGTATAATGATGCAAACAAATAGTCCCAGTTACATGACGATCAACAGAAAAAAATAGTGGAGACGAAAGCAGTACCTGATGAAAGCAAAAAAAACCCTAACTTAATCTTTGCCAAATGTACCGTCATCCGGGAATAAGAGAATTTTTCCCAAAATAATCCTGTGGGCCATCACAAAGAAATTCCAAGTGCTTATGATCATTACTTTCTACAAATTATAGAGTCATACAGCACGGAAACAGACCCTTCAGTCCAACTCAGCCACGCTGACCAGACATCCGAATTTGACTTAGTCTCATTTGCCATTTCGCCCATATCCCTCTAAATCCTTCCAATTCATATACATATCCAGACGCCTTTAAAATGTTGTAATTGCACCCGCCTCCACCACTTCCTCTGGCAGCTCATTCCATATACTCAGCATACACCATACACGTGAAAAAAGTACCCCTCAGGTCTTTTTTTAAAAATTTTCCCCCCTCAGTTTAAACCTACGCCTTCTAGTTTTGGAAAAGACCGAATCTATTTACCCTATCCATACTCCTCATGATTTTATAAACCTCTATAAGGTCATCCCTCAGCCTCCAACGCTCCAGGGAAAAAAAATCCCCAGCCTATTCAGCCTCTCCCTATAACTCAAACACTTCAGTCCTGGCAACATCCTTGTAAATCTTTTCTGTACACTCTCAAGTTTAATAATATCTTTCCAAATGAAGTGTGACCAGAATTGTACACAGTATTTCAAAAGTGACCTAATTAATGTCCTGTACAGCCACATGACTTCCAACACTTAAATTAGATGTTCAGGCCAATGAAGGCAAGTTCATCAAACATCTTCTTCACAACCCTGTCTACCTGTGACTCCATTTTCAAGGAACTATGCACCTGCGCCCTTAGGTCTCTTTGGTTGGTAACACACCCCAGGGCCCTACCATTAAGTTTATAAGTCCTGCCCTGATTTGCCTTACTAAAATTCAGCACCTCACATTTCTCTAAATTAAACTCCATCTGCCATTCATCAGCCCACTGGCCCATCTCATCAAGGTCCTATTGTATTCTGAGATAATCTTCTTCGCTGTCCACTATACCAAAGATTTTGGTGTCATCTGCAAACTTACTAACCATATCTTCTATATTCACTTCCAAATTATTTATATAAATGACGAAAAGCAGTGGACACAGCACTGATCCTTGTGGCACACTGCTGGTCACAGGAGTCCAGTCCAAAAAGCATCCCCCTACCTCCACCCTCTGTCTTCTAACTTCAAGCCAATTTTGTATGCAATTGGCTAGCTCCCTCTGGATTCCAAGTGACCTAATCTTATTAACCAATATACCATGCAGAATCTTGACAAATGCTTTGCTGAAGTCCATATAGACCATGTCTGCCGCTCTGTCCTCATCAACCTTCTTTGTCACCTCTTAAACAGAACAAAAAAAGTTACTATAAAGAAATCCTCCCTACCGCCTGTCCAGCCAGCTTGCAACTAGCACAGAATATAAACTACATTCTAGTGCAATCTTCTTCACTGAGAATATTTTGTTAGACAAAGGGATAAAGGTTACAAATTTCAGTAGTCCACATGGGTTTTTGACTATCACATGATCAAATATTGTACATCAATCACATGACAAAAAAACTCCAAGAATGCAGCAATCAGATTTGACAATCCTAACAAGTAAGTATTATACTTTCAACTTGGGCAGTCAAATCCTAAAACTGGTGTTTAGTACCCATCTGGTCAGTGGCCTAATAACACTTTTAAAAATCTCTTGGGAATAATTGGTTACACGGTACTGCTGATTGAGGCAATTGGTGACCCATGACAATATATGCTGTGAGGATAAATTTCTGCCCCCTTCTATAATTCTGCTTTCATGTTGTGTCCCTTCTTCTGTTCCCATGGTCGTTTTTTTAATCAACTTCTGACTGTTTTCTTTTTCTTATTCCACAAGGATGGCAATATCAGTAGCTTTAAGTATTGGCATGTTCATCCATGGTAAATCATCATGTTAATTAAACCAAGCAAATAGTGGCAGAGTTGCTAAGCAGTCTAAAGGGTTGGATTAAGATTTCTGAATCTTAAACGGGTTTTCTGGTGCAGTGGTAGTGTCCCTGTCTTAGATCCAGGTTCAAACTAGACCGTCAGACCATAAGACATAGGAGCAGAAATCAGGCCATTCAGCCCGTCGAGTCTGCTCCACCATTCAATCATGGCCGATAAATTTCTCAACCCCATTCTCCCGCTTCCTCCCCCTGACCCTTGATCCCCTTGACAATCAAGAACCTATCTACTTCCGTCTTAAATATACTCAATGACCTGGCCTCCACAGATTCACCACTCTCTGGCTGAAGAAGTTTCTCTTTATTCTACTGGCTACGCAGGTATGTTATGAGATATCTGAACAGGTTGATAATTAAAAAAAAACAAAAATAAATCACATTAAATGGGCACGTATGAAATAGAATGAAAACTTGTCTTTCTTGGTATTGCTGCACTCCTCTCTCACTAATGCCCACGGAATGTAGCCCCTCTCCCTTCCGTTGCCATGGTTTCCCGTGTTGCCCTCACTCTAGCCCTGTCCATTGTCTCCATCTCCCGTTTCCATGGTTTATCATTGTTTCCTCCGTCGGCCGGGGTTCCGATTGTCCTTCAGCGCTGACGTGTGCCTACGAGTGCCATGAAGCCGCGCACGCGCAGACCTTCGGGTGCCGTGCACTGTAAGAGCGAGTGCCGGCGGCGACCTCTTGACGTGGCACTTCCTCAGCTGGTGGATACAGTGTAACACCGAGAGCAACCTCAGCAAAAAAAAACAACACCCCCACAACGCACCGGCTCCACCGGGCACCAGCTTGGAGATCGCGACCTCTCCGCAGCACCAGCAAGCAACCGGCTACCGGGTAAATAGCATTTGACTCCTTCATGATTTTACGTTTTCATCCCCTATTCATTTATTACAAAGCGTGTTTATTTTTTTGTAATAATTCTGTCGTCAAACACCGGCGTGTTAATAGACTGACTATGTTGCGGTGAACTGTATATTCCTTTGGACTAAAGGTGTAGTAATCAATCAGCTTTCTATGCGTGAGTCGTTCGACGTGGCAATTCATTCACTGACAGGACTTCATAACTGATCAGAGGTGTCACTTCTTCAAAGGGAAAGTAACTTTCAAGCTATCGTTGCCGTATGATGTGGGACAATGCAACATTTAAACAAATGCAAGTTTTACGGTCTTGCCTTGTAATATTTTCGTACCCTTTGCCCCAGTGGTAATATTATTGGACTACTAATCCAGAGCTTCAGGCTAATGTTCTGGGGTGATGGGTTTGAATTCCACCATGGTGAAATTTGAAATCAATAACAATCTGGAGTTAAAAACTAATGGCAACTATGTGGCCATCTTCAATTGTTATAAAAACCCATCTGGATCACTGGAAATAAATCTGCCATACTTACATAGTCTGGCCTTCACTGAGTTAACATTTCGGGTCCGGTGCCCCTTCCTCAGTTCTGAGGAAGGGTCACCGGACCTGAAACGTTAACTCTGTTTTTACCTTCACAGGTGCTGCCAGACCTGCTGAGCTTTTCCAGCAACTTTGTTTTTGTTTCTGATTTACAGCATCCGTTGTTCTTTCGTTTTTTATTTAGTCTGGCCTTCATCTGACTCCGGATCCATATTAAAGTTGTTGACCCTAAACTGGACTCTAAAATAGCCTAGTAGACCAGTTCAAGGCCAATTAGTGTTAAATGCTGGTTTAGCCAGTGACGCCCATATCCCATAAGTGAATGTAAAACAGTCAAAGCCTTGTAGGTGATGTTAAAATTGTTTCAGAGATAGTAGGAACTGCAGATGCTGGAGAATCTGGATGAACACAGAGCATCAGGAAGATGCTGCTTGGCCTGCTGCGTTCATCCAGCTCCACACCTTGTTATCTCTTGTAGGTGGTGGTCAGGTGGGAAGATATTTGCTGTAGGATTCTAACCTCTAAAGTGTTCTTGTAGCCTTAGTGGGTATATATCTAGTCCATTTAAATTTTGGTCAATGGTAAAGTTGCTATAATCCCAGAGGACCATAGAGCTGCTCTCTCATTAGAGAGAGACAACTGGTGGTGAGTTTAACCTGAGGGTCACCATGTCTCAGGTAATGGGCAAGGTTGAGAAGGTGGGATCTTCATGGTGACCTCAGCCAGCCTAGGAATTAGAATCACAGAATCCCTACAGTGTGGAAACAGGCCCTTCAGCCCAACAAGTCCACACTGAACCTTGGGGCATCCCACCCAGACCCAACCCCCTATAACCCACCTAATCTACACCTCCCTGAACACTATGGGCAATTTAGCATGGCCAATCCACCTAACCTTGCACCCGGAGGAAACCCACGCAGACACGGGGAGATTGTGCAAACTCCACACAGACAGTCGCCTGAGGCTGGAATTGAACCTGGGTCCCTGGCGCTGTGAGGCAACGGTGCTAACTACTGTGCCACCGTGCTGCCCCATGCTGTTAGCGTCACGCTGCATCATAAACTCGCTGTCCAGCCAACTCAGCTGACTGACACTCTGATCAATGGTAACCCAAAGAGTGGGGGATTCAGTGACGGTATTGCAATTGAATGTCAAGGGCCAGTGGTTAAGTCTCACTTGGAAATAGTCATTGCCTGACACTGTTTAGTGTGAATGTTATTTGACACTTGTCAGTTCAAGCCTGGGCATACTTACTATTTGTTACATTTGGACATGGATTACTTCAGTATCTGAAAAGTTGCAGATGGTGTTGAATATTGTACAATCATCAGCAAATATCTCCACTCCTGATCTTATAATGATGGGAAAGTCATCAATGAAGTGGCTGAAGATGGTAGGCCTGGGACTCTACCCTGAAGAGTTCCTGCAGTGATGTACTGGAACTGAGATGTCTGACCTCCAACAACCACAACCATCTTCGTTTGTGCTAGATTTGGATATGACTGTAACCAGCAGCAAGTTCTCTCTGATTCCCACTGACTCTAGTTTTGCTAGGGCTCCTTGATGCCACACTAAATCAAATGTGGCCTTGATGTCAACTCTCACTTCCCCTAGGAATTCAGCTCTTTTGTTCAAGTTTGAATGAAGGCTAAAATGAAGTCAGGAATGGCACTGGTGGAATCCAAACCTGAGTGTCTGCAGGTTATTGCTAAACAAATGCTGATGATAGCATTGTTGGTGACACCTTTTGTTATGGACCAAAACAAACCCCCTTCAAATATATCAAGGAGATGGCCTAGACCCTGACATTTTCTTACTTAAGGCAAGTGTAAGATGCTGTGTTCCAGATGTAACTCAGCTTTAAGCAAAACACACTTTATTCTTACTCTATGGTTAAAATACAAACAAAAGACAGAAGAATTGATCAAACTTTAATTGAATTGGAAAAACTTAACAAAATAATAGATTATTTCACTACCAAACAGCAACTGTTCCAATATAGTAACATCCCATAAACATGCCCTTAGCAAAAACAAACTCAGTAAAACAGATTGTCTCACATGTGATTATGGCAGCAGGAAGAGAATCCAAGCTTTTAGGTGTAACGGAGGGAAAAATGTAGCAACTTTGACAACCGTCTTCAAAAACCCCAGCAACGACTGAGCATTAAATTAAAACCCTGGTTTTGTGGGAACCTGATGTCAAACAATCATGCTGCTTCTATTGATCCAACTTTTAAAATAAAAACAAGGCCTCAAAAGCTTCCTCCGTTACATTGATGACTGTATCGGTGCCGCCTCGTGCTCCCACGAGGAGCTCGAACAGTTCATCCACTTCACCAGCACCTTCCACCCCAACCTTAAGTTCACCTGGACCATCTCTGATATCTTCCTGGACCTCTCTGTCTCCATCTCTGGCAACCACCTGGAAACCGATATCCATTTCAAGCCCACTGACTCCCACAGCTACCTAGAATACACCTCCTCCCACCCACCTTCCTGCAAAAATGCCATCCCCTATTCTCAATTCCTTCGCCTCCGCCGCATCTGCTCCCACGATGAGGCATTCCACTCCCGAACATCTCAGATGTCCTTGTTTTTCAAGGACCGCAACTTCCCCCGCCTCAGTAGTCTAGAACGCCCTCTCCCGCATTTCCCGCAACTCAACCCTCACAACCCCTCCCTGCAATAACAACCAAAACAGAATCCCCCTCGTCCTCATGTACCACCCCACCAATCTCTGGATCCAACGCATCACCCTCTGACACTTCCGCCATCTGCAATCCGACCCCACCACCAAAGACATTTTTCCCTCCCCACCCTTATCTGCTTTCCGGAGGGACCACTCTCTCCGAGACTCCCTTGTCCGCTCCACAGTCCCCTCCAGCCCCACCACACACGGCACTTTTCCCTGCAACCGCAGGAAGTGCTACACCTGCCCCTACACCTCCCCCCTCACCCCCATCCCAGACCCCAAGAAGACTTTCCACATCAAGCAGATGTTCACCTGCACATCTGCTAATGTGGTATACTGTGTCCGCTATTCCCGTTGTTGCCTCCTCTACATCGGGGAAACCAAGCGGAGTCTTGGAGACTGCTTTGCGGAACACCTACGCTTGGTTCGCAGTAAACAACTGCACCTCCCAGTCGCGAAACATTTCAACTCCCTCTCCCATTCCTCAGATGACATGTCCATCCTGGGCCTCCTGCAGTGCCACAACGATGCCACCGGAAGGTTGCAGAAACATCAACTCATATTCCGCTTGGGAACCCTGCAGCCCAATGGTATCAATGTGGACTTCACAAGCTTCAAAATCTGCCCTCCCCCTACCGCATCCCAAAACCAGCCCAGCTTGTCCCCGCCTCCCTAACCTGTCCTTCCTCCCACCTATCCCCTCCTCCCACTTTAAGCCCCACCCCCATCTCCTACCTACTAGCCTCATCCCGCCCCCTTGACCTGTCCGTCCTCCCTGGACTGACCTAACTCCCCACCTACACTCACCTTTACTGGCTCCATCCCCGCCTCTTCGACCTGTCTGTCTCCTCTTCACCTATCTTCTCTTCTATCCATCTTTTATCCACCTCCCCCTCTCTCCCTATTTATTTCAGAACCCCCTTCCCCTCCCCCATTTCTGAAGAAGGGTCTAGGCCTGAAATGTCAGCTTTCCTGCTCCTCTGATGCTGCTTGGCCTGCTGTGTTCATCCAGCTCTGCACCTTGTTGCCTCAAAAGCTGTTTATTTTATTCGAGGAGACACCTATGGCTCAACACCTCTTTTTTAAAAAAAAGGGACAAAATACACCTTATTATCACACCTTCCATCACTAGACCCAATGTTATTGATTCCAGGTGCAACTCCCTCCAACTGTATAGCATAGTGTCACCACCTCTGTTCGGTCTGTCCTTGGTGGAACAGAACAACCCAGTGAGAGGAATGGTGATGAATTGGTATTTTCAGAATTTTGTCAGTATGACTCTGCCAGGCCATTTCTTAGTCTGTGAGACAGCTGTTCCAATTTTGGCACTCGGTCCCTGTTTGCAGAGTTGGACAAGGCTAAGATTGCTGTTATTTCCAGTACTTAAGTTGGTAGAGGGTGGTCCTGCTGGTTTCGTCCCTTTCAGAATTGTTAGCATTTGATCCGACTGAGTGGATTGCTAGGTCGTTTTAGAGAGAAGAGTCAACTACATTGCTGTGGGGCCAGAATAATATGTAGTTCAGACTAGGTAAAGAAAGGACATTAGTGAACCGAATGGGTTTTCACAATAATTGATAATGCTCTCATCGTCATCTTAAGACCTTTAATTCCACAGTTTTAAATTTAATTCAAATTTGACCATCTGCCATGGTAAGATTTGAACTTGGATCCTTATTAGGCCAGTGACATTACAATTATGCCATCGCTACCTTTTAAAGTGAACAAACCATGTCCATGAACA